GTGTCTGGAGCCTGTGCTCCGCAACAAGAGAGGCCGTGATAGTGAGAGGCCCGCGCACCGCAATGAAGAGTGGCTCCCGCTTGCCACAACTAGAGAAAGCCCTCGCACAGAAACGAAGACCAAATACAGCAAAAATTAATTAATTAATTAATAAAAACTCCTATCCCCAACATCTTCTTTAAAAAAAAAAAAAAAAAACCTAGTCTTCTGGTGTTTTGCCTCAGTGTAGGCAATCACACCAAGTTGTAGAAGCCAGAATTCTAGGAAATAGCCTTTCCACCTCCCTCTCATTCCTACATTCAATCTATCATCAACCCCTCTTCAGTAATTCCTAACATCTACTTATCTCTCCACTTCTACCACCACCTGAGTCCAAGTTATCATCACAGTTTATCAGATTTGTCCAAATCATTATAGTAGCCACTCAAAGTCATCTATCCTCATCTACTCTGGCCCTTCTCTAATTCATTCTCTAATCAATAGATAGAGTAATTAAAAAATAATAAAAGATCTAACCAGATCATCCCTTTGCTTAAGGCAAAATTCTTCAACATGACCAATCATCCCTGCATGCACTGATTAATACTTATTGTTCTGGTCATCTGTTGCTGCAGAACAAATCACCCAAAAACTTAGGGCTTAAAACAACAATTTAATATTAGCTTTCATGATTCTGTAGATTGTTCAGACTCAGTTGGGATGTTAATCACCTAGAATCTGCCATGCAGGTGCAGTAAGAATTTGGCTTGGCTTGGAGTCATCTGAAGGCTCAAATGGGCATCCAAGATGGCTTCTTCACTCACATGTTTGAGGGCTGGTCAGGCATCCCTCTCTCCATATAGCCTCTGCAGGTGGCTAGTTAAGGGTTCCTCAAAGCATGGCAGTCTCAGGATGTTCAAATTCTTATATAAGTTACTTTCCTCAGAGTGTACTTTATAAGAGACCAAGGCAAAAGCTGCAAGACCTCTTGTGACCTAGTCTCCAAAGTCATTCAGCTCTCTATTACCTTATTCTGTAGTCCAAAATCAGTCACAATGTCAGCCCAGATTCAAGAGAAGAACTATCTAAGGATTTGAATATCAAAAAGCATAGTTCTAAGGAGAGTCTCTGGAGAATATGAACCACACCAACCTCTCCACTCCCATTTTGCAGCACATTCCCTATTGCTGTTTCTACTTTGACCACACTGGCTTTCTTTCAGTTCCTAGTACTTACCATACTCTAACCTGCTAAAGGCTTTTGCACATACTTTTTTTTTTTTTTTTTTGCTTAGAGTGTTCTAATCCCCTCCTTGCCAAGTTAACTACTGCTAAGCTTTCAGAGCTAAATCAAGTCTCAGGAAAGCCTTTCCTGACCAGGTTAAATCTTTTCATTATATGCTCTCACGGCGCTGGATATATTTTTAGCACTGTCCTCATCCCCACTGCACTTTTGCATTTGTTTGAATGATTATGTAATTTATGTCTCAATATCCCCCACTAGACTGGAAGAGGAGCCATGTCTGTCTTTCCCTTCTTACCACAGAGCTTGGCTAGTACTCCAATATTTATTTGCTGAATGAATAACAGAAACAAAGTAAGCAAATGAAACTATCTCTGTATAACAAAGTACTCTTTTCCCTATAGAATTATAGTGAAGTAGATAATCACATTCCCATATTCAATACATAATCAGACAACCCAAATATAAACCATTTTTCACAGATGACGTCTCATAAATTTAGAGGTCATATTCATTTGCCACATCCTTCTTATAAAATTAGCAGATGTATAAAGAAAGCAAAGAAATATAGCCAAATTGTATGTTTTGTGGTATTTTTTCCAGCCTCCTTTCAAATGAGCCTAAAACTCTTTGATTTTAATTTCTATGATTTAACAAAAGCTGACAAATATACCAAATGGGACACTGTGATCACAGGAGAGGTGATGTCCTCCTACTCTATGCAGGAATCCAGTACTGACAGCAAAGACCACTAGAAGCATTCCACTTAGAAACCCAGGAGGATCTGTTACACAAATGAAACCAGATGCAAAATACTAACTGCTCCCCCACTACATTATCGATAACTTGTCTATAAATAAACACTCCATCAACTTTCAATTTGAAGTGGAATATTTCATCTTGGGGTGGGATCTCACATTCCTGTTCTTAGAAGGTTACACAAACAGCGAAGAGTTGAATTGGAGAAAATAGTCACTAGTTATGGCTATTAACCACTTCTATGAAATTTTTTTAATGTCTGGGTAATTATAGATGGTAATTATCATAAACCAAAGTTCTTTCCCAAAAAGTACATTCTATTTCTGGTCTTTTGAATTCCAAGCTTCAACTCTACTGTTGTCAACTACTGAAAATATTTGGTCTAGTGACAGACTATTTCTTACATTCTGAAATGATTCAACTTATTCTTTTTCCTCATGTTCCATGAGGGCATGGATTTGGTTACTCTTGTTTACCTAGAGCAGTCTCCGGCACATTGTCCCACCTGATGAATTACTGAATGAGTAATTAGCACTGTTCTTCTAGAATCAGATCTTGTGTATTTACTCAAAATATTTATCAAGATTCTTATTTGTTATTTATTAAGAAAAGATATTTTGCCAAAAATGCAAAAAAAAATGCCTTTTACTTCTCATTTATGCTTCTTGCTTCCTAGGTATTATGCCATATGAAATTAGTGTTTCTAATTATTTAACCTGTCTCATTCACCAGTTAAGAAAAAAAAAATTGTTCTACAATAGGCAGAAAGAGCTTTTTGCTAAAAAATTGTTACAAACAAGACAACAGGCCCAAAATGGAGTCACTTATGCCTCTCTCAGAAATGGACTCTTAACCCAATCAATCAATCAGGAATCTCCTGATCAGCACTAGTGAGGTCATCTGCCTCATAGGCCCCTGCTATCCCCTAAAGAAAAGTAACCTTGCCACAACCAATCCACATTTTGCTAGTATAACTTCCCTGTCCCACTCCCTTCTGCCTATATAAGTCTTTAATTTTGTACAGTTCCTTAGAGCTCCTTTTAATCTGCTAGGCAGGATTCTGCCTGATTCATGAATCACTAAATAAAGCCAATAAGATCTTTAAAATGTACTCAGTTGAATTTTGTTTTATAACACATTGAATATCTTTGGTAAAAGTTTTCTGGAATAAAACTTCTTTTTCTTAGTGGCTGAGCTGAAACTTGTACCATATTTTGTGCTTTGAGAAGTCTTATCAGAATAACAACTATTTGACAAATGATAAAGAAGTCTACAAGCAGGTCCGTGAGTATGACCATTTTTGTGGGATAATTTAGCCACTCTCTGACTAAAAATAAAAAAACAGATGCAAGATAGAGAGCATGAAAATCTGTTATAGGACAGTTTCTTAAATCTAAATTCTGTCTCTCAATAAATCATCAACTATTTTGTCTTAAAAGGGTGAATTGATGAAATTGAAACAGTCATTAAATAAGTGTTTAAACCTGTTGTAGACCATACAGTTTAGATAACAGTAAACACATTAACATCAAATTTGCCTTTTAAGGAAATTCCCCCAAGAGGTGTCCTCTGACACGGGTTTAATGCTGACCAACAAACATGACTTGTGGGTTTTCTATGGGTGAGTATCTGTACCATTTTGCACCTTATTTCTCAACTCATTAATCACACTAAATTATTCACAGATAAACATCCTTTTCCTTTGTCCTGCTTCTTGTTAAGTATGGATTAAGATCTAGATTGTTGCTTTTCAAGTTATAAAGTATTAAATGGAAATGTTAAATACTTGACAAGTTCGACCTGCTCTACAGCTGCTCCAATTCCAGACTTGAACGTAGAGAAAGTTGTGCTACAGGAAACAGGATCCACCCACATTTTCAAAGGCATTAATGTTTGCCTCCTTGGGTTTTTAAATGTCTCGCATTCAGCCAAAAAGGAGAGATGCACTTAACCTACATTTGCAAGTGCCATATTTGACCAATCTTTTCACTACTCTAAGTGTTTTTTTAAAGTCTTGCCTTACATTTTCTATAACTACTGACTCCACCTTATTTCTACTATAGGAATCAACTAAAAGGCTTAGAACAAGGATAGATCTTGGAATAAATTGAATAGTTTGGTAAATAGATTTCCCCCTTTTTTCTTCAGACCCCATTGCCATCAAATCTTTCTTGATTCCATTTTACGAAGAGAAATAAATAGAAATATTTATTTTATTAACGGGTTACTTTTAAAAGTCAATTTCAATCTCACTCAATGCACTCAATCTCACTGCATTTTTGATATGCATCAAAAATATTCCATCTTCTCTTCTATTCCTCATTTTACCACTAAAACTAACACATACTCCTTACAAGTAGAAGCAATAAGGAAGGACAGAGATTTCAGACATGTTAGGAATATTGATTAACTCTTCTCCTTTTGCTAAGGCAATTCCCTGATTGAACAGACTACTGGTGGGTGAATGGTAGGAAATGCATATTTTTCAAGCTAAGCCCTTTCAAGGACAGATGCCAAGGTGAGCAGTACTCCTGGTTTCTCAGCAACGTGGAAGAATTTGTGAATGACTGTGAAAGATTTGCACAACCATCCAGCTGCACTTTGGAGCTGCTCTAAAACAGCAAAGCCCAACCTGGGAAATTCATGTCACATCCTGTACCCCTGGGTCAGAAGTGGTGAAATACACACACACACACACACACACACACACACACACACACACACACACCAACAGCAGTGGATAAGACACGGTGCACACACACACACACACACACACACATCCCATACCCGTGGGTAAGAAAGGGCGAAATACACACACACGCACACACTCACACAACCCACACTACACCACGAGAAAGCCCTGCGGTGAAGCTCTCAGGCAGGCAGGCTCTGCTTCAGAAGGCACAGTCAGCATCCCTCTCTCCCAGCCCAAGTGAGAGGCTGGCCTCCGCCTCAGAACTCCCTGGTCTTTACATCCTAGGCTTTTTCTTACAAAGTAGAAAGATCTATGCTGGCCTTACCTCTGGGGCTGCTTTCTTGTAAGTATGGTGGGGCCGTGGGAGTGACATTTCCAGAATGGGATGCGGAGAGCAGAGGCGAGCGTTCGTCCACCCCATCAGCAGCCATGACTGCAGCAGTGGCGCCGGGGCCGGGGTGGAGGCTGAGTCTGGGGTTGCGGCTCCGGTTGGAGGCGCTGTTAATGCTACTGCCGCTGCAGCCGCCTCCGGGAGGACCCGGGATGTGTCACAAGGTAGGAGGCGGGCAGGGAGGGGGGATGCGGGATCGAGAGGCGGGGAAGGGAAGCGCGCTGGGAAGCACGCCTAGGGGAGGGGAGCGGATGAATAAAAAAAAAAAAGAAAGGGCCCGGGAGAGCTGGGGGAGGGGAGAATGGGAGGAGCAGGAGCCCTGGGAACTTAGTAGGGCTGACTGGGAAACGCTGGGAAGGGAAGGTGCCAAGTAACCGAACGCTGAGAGGAGGTAAGTGGGAGGGAGGGGTTAAAACTCTTTCTTCTTTGTACTTCACATTTCCTTAACTAAGGAAAAAGAAGAGTGAAGGACAGCCTGAAAGGGGGCAAAAAGGCCTGTGGCTTGATTACAGGAAAACTACAGCAATCACAAATCCAAGTTTAACTCCTCAAGGGAGGAAGAGGAGCTCTTTGCTGTCAAACTTTGCAGCAATTATATAAAGAAAACTTATTCCTAGGGTTAGCAATTCCTTCTCGAGGGCTGCTGCTTTTGTTAGGAAATCATTTTTCAACATCTGTTGTCTAAGAGGACGTAGATTTTTGTATGAGCAGTGCCATTTCCTGCTTTTCCTTGTCAATTTTTAAATATCTGTTTGGCACTCTAGTAACTGTATCTTATTGAAACTATGCATAGTGTGTTGGTTTTTACAAGTTTAATTTAACAAAATAGGTTGTCATTTTAGTTTTGTTTTTGTACTGTATTGTCCCTGACACATATATGATAATAAAGTTTATGAATAATGTAAGACGAATAACTATTTTCTTTAGTAATGTCTTAAAATAATCATTCACATGTAAAACAGTATTAAAAACAAGCTAAGTACAGTTCTCATCTTGCTTTTTGTGTTTATTTTTTTCTTTTCTTTTTTTGGTGGCTTGCTAGAGTGGTTTTAAAATCAAAGTTTTGAACATGCCCAGTTTAGATAACATGCCCAGATAAAAAAATGCAATGGGAAAATAGTCATGGTCTCAAACCGATCATTCTTCTGCAACAGTTCTTTGAGTCATTCATCACATATTATCATGTGATTACTGGTCTACACATATGAATAGGGAATGGTCTTGGTCTTGAAGATGTCTGTGAGACAGCACAGTCAAAAACAAACCAAAAATGAAGCTGGTAGTCTTTAAAGGGGCTGGAGATTTAAAGGGGCATGAGTAAAAGCAAACTGTAGACATTTGAAACTAGCTCTTATATTACGTGCCCTCTGAAGATACTCTTTATTCTGAAAATTCCATTTAGGGACCAGCTGGAAATCCTAAGGGAAAATCAAAGAATAATGTTTTCTATTATGCAGCATCCATTGTGGATCAGTAGTATCAGGAGACAACACAATATAAGGATTCCCAGGGACTTCCCTGGTGGTCCAGTGGTTAAGACTCCACACTCCCATGCAGGGGGCCCAGGTTTGATCCCTGGTCAGGGAACTAACACCTCACTTTTGGCAACTGAGGCCACGCGCTGCAACTACTGAGCATGCGTGCGTTCTAGACCCCCCCGCACTCCGCATCTAGAGAAGCCGGCACACCGCAACAAAGAGCCCTTGCCCCGCAACAAAGACCTAGTGCAGACAAAAATAAATAAATAAATAGGATTCCCATAGGATATAATTCTAGGGCATTTATAGGTCTCTAGGAACTGGAATGTTAGGGGTAAAGATGTAGCACTCCCTGCAAAAGTGAACAATTTACAAAAGAAACAACAGTGTTTTTACAGTTGCAGCCTAGAAGCTATTGAGATAAAGAAACTTCTAAAAAGAATCAACAAATTCCTATTTCTATACAGTTAGCCCTCCGTATACATGGGTTTCCGCATCCACAGATTCAACCACAGGTGAAAATATTTTGCAAAGAACAATTTCAGAAAGTTGCAAAAAGCAAAACGTAAATTTGCCATGCTCAGGCAACTATTTACATATCATTTACACTGTATTAAGTATTATAAGTAATCTAGAGATGATTTAAAGTATACAGGAAGATATGCATAGGTCATATGCAATACTGTGTAATACTACGCTATTTTATGGAAGGGCATCCAAAGATTTTGGTATCCGTTGGGGGGGGCGGGGAGATGGTGGTCTGGAACCAATCCCCCAGGGATACAGAAGGACAAGGGGCAATTTTATTGTCCTATCCTGTCACCTATCACACTTTATGGTAGCAGTGTATTTACATTTCCATTACCCACCCAACTTTTATCCCCAACTGACTTTGTGAGGTCAGAAGCCAAATCTGTCTCATTCACTATTGTATCTCCAGTATCTAACACAATGCATGGCACATTAATAAGCACTTGATAAATGTTTGCCAAATAAATAACAAATGAGTATATGAACAAATCCTACACAGTCCCAGAGTCTTACTAAAACAAATTGTTAACGGGAAAAAAGTTAAGAGCATTTCTTGACATTTTGATGAAGATGAGAGTTTTGCCACCTGACTATTTTATTGTTCCATTTTTTCTTTACTACCCAGGTAATAATGATCAGTATAAAGGTTGTTTTTTTTTTTTCATTCTTTACTTCTTTATATGCCTTCTCTATTAATTTCAGAATTCAATTGAGGGTGATACAGTTAATGGGTATATTGAGATTATATTTGCAACAATGCCAAATTTCACAAAAAGTAAAAAACTTATTAGATGAGTATCACTTCATTCTAGTTTAAAGATAATTCTGTAGTTTATGGTTACTCAGTAAATGTTAAATAATACTGATCAATCTAAGGCCTTTTATGATTATGATACTTTGCCATCACTATTCATTTCCACTTTGGGAATAATTGTATGGTTAAACAGATAATGTATGAGCTAGTAAGAGATATACCTTATTACTTACTTAAGCTGCTTAAACTACAGTTCCAGTTATCTACTACTAAGTAACAAATTATATCAAAACCCAGTGGCTTAAAATAATGTGATTTGTTATTTTTCATGATTGTGTTGGTTGACTGAGTAGACATTCTGTTGGTCTTACCTAACCTTACTCAGGCAGCTGCAATCAGCTAGCAGGTTGGCAGGAGGCTGGGCTCAGCTGATGAGACAGCTGGGATGGCCACAAGTCTCTCTCCATATAGTCATTCAAACAAGGCTTCTTCACATGCTTAGTAGTCTCAGAGCAGTGTTCTAAGAGGGCGATTGTGGAAGCTATGGCACCTCTTAAGACCTAGGCTCTGGACCTCAAACAATGTTACTTTCACCACATTCTTCCACCTCCTTCAGCCTGCCTCCTGCCCAAAGAAAGCTGGAGGCCCAGAGACCTCTTTTCATGGTCAAAAGTAGTCACAAGGCCAGTGGAGGAATAGATTCCATATCTTCATGGATGAAGTGACAATGTCACAGTGCAAAGGGCTGTGGAACACAGGAAGGCATGATTCATTGTAGGCCATTATACAATAATGGCTACAATAGTCTATCCTCTGGCCACAATGGTTCATGTCCCTCTCACAGGCAAACTACATTTGCCCATTCCTAAGACCCCAAGGTCTCATTTAATCACCAAAGTCATGTTTGTATATCTTGTCACCTAAATCAAGTACAGGTGCAGACAAAGTTCCTTGGGTATGATTCCACGGATTCAGCTCCTTGGGTACAGCACCTGTTGATTCAGAGAGCTGTGAACTAAAAAGACAAATTGTGTGCCTTCCTCATCTCCCCCTGCCCCAGCCTCCAACATTTAACAGTGAAACACGGACAGCATAACAGCAATAAACACTCCAATTTCATAAAGTGAGGGGAGGGAGCTGATGTGCATTTAGAATGGAAAGAACATAGTGTAACATAGTGTACACTGAACCACAGAATTCTGAAATCCAGTTGAGCATATGTCACTAGCTCCCTTGACACTAGAGCCAGGGAATGCCCCTTTATTAGGGCACAGTTCTGCTCTTAGTGTTACTGGGTTTCCTCATCTATTGCTGTCCTTGGCTCTCTGCCCTGCCACTGAGTCCTTTCTTTTCCATAACGTATGACTCCTGCTTGTAGCTGAGTAGCTTTCCCAGTCTGCCTCCTGCCCAAACAAAGTTGGAGGCCCAGAGGCCTTTTTAAAATTTTGAACTGTCTCTGTTCCTTTTAATCCAAGTTAATACAATTCCCTTAAAAACTTTGCAGGCTTCTTATAAATCTGATTGGGGTTTACTTCCTGCCCCCAAAGCCACAGACATAATTCTTTTTGAGACAGGCATCTCTCTACACTGGGCCACATTTGAGACCCTTCAGATTTGTAGAAACCCCTTTGTCTTACCTAAGGAAGTCTTCAAATCACTGCTTGAATCTTTCAGAGGTCTTAACAAGGAGTTTTATAGCCATCCCCTTGGATTAAAATTTTATCCTGAGGCTTTTTCTTATGTTAAAAATCTTTTACTGGACTGTTCTGAGTCCTCTACATTTCCTCTAAATTCTGTTGTAAACTGAAAGTTCTTTTTAAATTCATCTCTGTGGTAGGGAAAATAATGACCCCCAAAAGATGTCTACACCTAGTCCCTAGAACCTAGGAAACCTTACATAGCAAAAGGGATTTAGCAGATGTGATTAAGGGTTGCAGATCTTATGATGGGGAGGTTATCCTGGGTAATCCAGGTGGGCCAATGAGTCTTTGAAAGCTGAGAACCTTCCTGGCTGCAGCTAGTGATATTCACAGAAGAAGGAGGAGAGATTAAAAGTATGAGGAGGACACAACCTACCATTGTTGACTTTGAAGGTGGAGGAAGGGAACCAAAGAGTGTGGGTGGCCTTTAGAGCTAGGGGTGACTCTCAGCTGACAGCAGCAAGGAAATGAGGATTTCAGCCCCACAAACACAAAGAACTGGATTCTATAAACAACTTTAATGAGCAAAGAAATTGTGAACAAAGAACATAGAGCATCGCTCATCACCCAGCTATACAAGGGTTAAGTTGAAACCCACTGCAGTCTCCCCTGAGAGGAATTCAAGATGAAAAACAGGATGAGGCACTCTGTGCTTTCAATAAACAGACTCCTAGATAGATTCATGTC